TTTTTTTTTTTTTTTTTTTTTTTTTTTTTTTTTTTGCTATTTACAATTTAATACAATTTTTGGTTATTTCTACTTATTGAACTGATCGAGCCTTAATTGATATTTCATTTGTGCTATTTTGCTGCATCACTTTCACATTTGGCAATAATCATTCTAGTTCATTCAAATTTCACAAATTCTAGAGAATTTCTTATTGTAGTTAATTAATTTTGACTACATATTCGATTTTCTGCAACTTTTGTTACAGAATGCCCAAATGTCTATATAAATAAGTTTCGATATGTGTTTCAGCCAAATGTTAGTTATTCGCATTTATTGCAAAAATCTGCAAGCAATTTGAAAGGAAAATTTGGTTGAAGATTGTTAAATTTTATAATATAAATGCTTAGAATGGAGGCTTAAAATAATACTATAAGATTTATTAAATTACAAAAAAAAAAACAATCAGCAGCTAAAGAGATATAGGTAAAGAAGAGATAGAGCAGAGATACATATTATCTAAACTTCTTTAAAAATCCATTCAAAATATTCACAAAGCAATCAAAATACTCGAAAAAAAATGCGCTCAAGTCTCTCTAAACTTCACATAATTAACAAATTTAATTTTATCATCCATTTACGACGCACACGCACTAAAATACAATTCCCAAAAACTCAAGAAATGAGATTCTTACAAGAAATTTACAAAGCTCTTAAGTGAAATTCATAAAAAAAACCCATTGAAAACGTCATGTTTGCAAGTGCCACACCCACGCATTTGAGCGTTTCCAGTGAACCAGCCCACACAAACACACACACACACACACACACAGCGTGATGCATCCGACAGCAGATATAGCATCAATCAGAGGATCAGCCATGTATATATAGATAGTTTTACCTGATCCAGCTGGTGCGCGTGCTTTAAACTTGGGCGCAAACATTGTTGTTGTTGTTGTGTTGTTTTGTGTGTGCTCTGCAAAAATGTGGCAGAGATCTGATTAGAATGGGAATTGTGACCCGAAACGAAACGAAACGAAACACTTGCAACAAGCAACACTTCACTTTTCTTTGATTTTACGCTCTTTGGTCACTGCACTGCGAACAAATTGAATTTTGGAGAGAGGCGAAAAGCGCGCTAAGCAAATGCTTGGAAATAACGCTCGACTAACCCTGCCCCATATTTGCTTTTGCTTTGCTTTTTCGTTTTCTCCGATGTGTGCAAGTGGAAATGTAGAAATGCTGCCGCTGCCTCCGATCCGAATATATGTATATCTATATCTATATATAATGTATATATATAATTTTTGTTTTTGATTTTTCACGCGCCTTCGCGTTGCGCACACGACTTAAACACGACGACGACTACGCCAGGCGAGAATCTTGTACAAGTTGCTTGGATTTTCTTTCGGCAACAGAAAATACTAAAATGAAACTCAATTTGTGTGAGCGCAAAGGCAACAACAACAACAACAACAAGTACTACTTCTACAAATACGTTAGCTGTGCCCTCAACAAATTTGATTTTCCAATTTTCCGCTGGCGGCGCACAGCATAAACAAAATGCTGATGCTTTCGTAAACAGAGACAGGAAATCAGGAGCGCCAAGAGCGCAAAGAGAGAGACTGAGCGAGCGAGAGAGACAGAGAGCGAGAGTGAGTGAGTGTGACGTAAATATTGCTGGCAGATAAAGATATATATTCACGCCATGAACAAGCTCGCGTCGCACAGGTCGTATACACAATTTCGTTTTGCCGTTTCACAAATATTCGCTAGCATACTTTGCGGCGGCAGGTGCAAAATGCCGAATTTAAAAATAAACAAAAATGGTGCAAAGGTGTGAGTACATGAGGAAAATGAGCGCAGAACATTTTATAAAATGTTTTTCATTCGTTTTTTTGGCCAATTAGCAAGCAGCTGCGCTCATTTGACCAAACAAATTGGATTAGAGACATTTGGAGGGCAGACACACGAATTGGATGGACTTGTTAAGGGCAAGGAATATATAGACATGTATGTATACACAGATCAGGGTTCAGTTTCGACCGACCGTTGGCATAGAGAAAGCCCTTGGCTAGCTGCAGCTCGTTGTCGATCTCCTTGAGCAGATCGCTCTCGGACCAGCTGCGTCGCTTGCGCTGCTGCTGCAGCTGCTGCTGCGGCGAGAGCAGAAATCGCGTCTGCTTCTGTCGCTGCTGCCGTAGATGTGACTTTGCTGCCGTCGCTGGCTTCGGCGCTGGCATCGGCATCGGCGTTGGCATCGTCGTCGACGTTGGCGTCGCTGTCGTTTTAATTGCTTTGGCTATCAAAATTGTTGGCATTCGTTTAGTTTGTTTCTCTCTCTCTCTCTGCTAGACGCATGCCACATGCTGCACTTAGCCTAAAGAGTGAACCCTGTGCTCAATTGTCTCGCTGCAACAACAAAAACAAATATGAAAACAAACGAATCGCTTGTTAGTTTGTTTTTGCTTTTGCTTTTGCTTTTGCTTCCCTTGTCATGCCAATTGAATGGAATTAATTAAAATTTCCGTTTAATCGCGATTTGTGTGCCTGCCCAATGCAATCGCTTGCAGCGCCCCAGATAAGCCGCCTCAATTGCCAGCAGAGGGGCCATCGGGGGGCCTCGCAGTTCTCAATGTGGAAACACTTGAGCGCAGAGTTGCAGAGACAAGATGAAGATGCGAAATCAGAAACAAAACAACTTAATATTTATCGTTATGAGCCCATAAAAGACATTTGCCTGATAGACTCTTAATATATATAGACGAGCTATATATATATGCGATTGCTTTGTCAGCCAATAAATTTGTATTAAATTAGTAGCATTTATTTGAAATATTCTAGCGTGAATTTTAGTTGGAAAATATTTTGTGGAATTCTTTGCATGTGAATGTCATAAATTTGTGTCAATGAGAATTATTATTCTAGCTAAATGTGACACTTGGGCAGGCGAAATAAATTTGCAGAGCCAGAGGAACAGATATTATGGAAGAGAGTGAAAAGAGCAAGATTAGAAAACTAGTTTTTCCATTGAATAAAATTGCTCTGGAGCACGTACTGAAAAGCTCGAAGCTTTCAGCAACTTTAGTTCATTTGAAAATTGGTACAGTATCAGAATGAGCTTAAGGCTCTTGTTGATTATTTAATATATATAAGCAAATATAATCACTTAGTCCTAATGAGACTTTAACTTTAGTCGTGATTTTTATAATCAAAGCAGAACAACTTTATAGATTTTTTAAGCAATCATCGCATGATTGAGCAGGAAAAAGCTTTAATGCACCTTAACAACTTTTTACCTTTGATAGAATTAAATGTGTTAAGGCTTTAAAGAGCTTTTTTAGTGATTTCAGAATGGATATATAAATGTAAGACAAGCTTTAAGTATATAAGCAAGTACAAAGCTTAAATTAAACAGTTATATTCATAAAATCTAGATTGGAGGAATTATTCTTATCTGATGAAATTATAATATGAAGTATGAGTAGAAAAATATTAAAATAAATGCCACCGATTTACTAATTTTATAAACTAATTAATTTACCATATTTAATGGATCCATTCTATTGAATGACTATACATTTAAAGTAATGCTTAAATTATGAATTATGAGTTTTATTTTTGTTTATTAGTTACATTCGATATATGTATGTTTATAAATATGCATATTTGGGACATTCACAGTATTAGTCAGTTGGTCAAGCATCATTTACAAGCGCTTAGCACAAAACGAATCTCTCGATGACAGAGCTTAGAGCTAAATCATGTATATATATTGATAAATAGATAAATATTTATATGGATCATGCATACAAAATAATAAACACTAAATAACAATTGAGTTTTGTTAATCAATCGATCATTTATTAAACATTCAACAACACTATATAAATTGAATTCATTTTGTATTAATTTCGAAAAGAGAAAATAAAAACAATTAACTAATTTTCACAAAACGTTTTTATATCTTTTTGTTTATTTTTTTTATTCAACAGTTGTCTAGGACAAAAATATACATAATTGAAAGGTTTTCATTTAGTTATATTTAGGCTGCATGCTGTAGAGGTGAGGCTGGGGGAAAGGATTTTGTTTAAATATATGTATCTTTATTATTGTTTTTGTTTTGTTTTTAAAGCGTTTTTTTTGCGGTTCCATTAACAAAGGTTTCTGGGCGTGCGTATCGAGAGTATTTTGCTATATATTTAGGCATATTCAGAAACTGTCGGACGTGGTTTTACTGTCGAAATTGCGCCAATATTTATCAAACTCTTCGAAGATTTTCGAGCGGAAGGGTGAACTGGCAAAGAGCTCATCGAAATTTCTATGAAAATTGCCCAAAAATGGCGCAGACGAGGGCATGGGCGTTCCTGTTCGATTGAAATTCGATTCGGATCGGGATTCATTGACTATATGGCTATGCATGGTTGACGTTGTTTCTCTTGTAATGTTGTTGTTGTTGTTCTGGTTGTTGTAGCTGTTGCTGTTGTTGCTGGTGTTTTCATTGTTGTTGTTGTTGTTGTTGTTGGTTGCTGTTTTATCATTGTCTGTGTGAGGGCGGCGATATAGAGAGAAATTTGATATACAAAAGAGCAACACACACACAGAGAGAGAGAGAGAGACATTTTTGTGAGAGAGTGAGAGTGAGAGAGAAGGAGAGAGATTCTGTGTCTACAACAACAATAAGCACATAACTACAATAAGTTTCGTGAGAGATGTGAGAGGATGTGCCAAATGACCATTCACCAATGAGTTTGCATTTAAAGTACACTCAGAGAAAATCATATGTGCATGTTACTAGAGTCTTACTATGGAATTTCTTCAGTTAGAATTTTCTATACTTTTTTTATAATTTATCGTATTTATTATTGCAATAGTACTACTTATTTAGATTTGTATTTAAGATATTCAATAAATAAATTAAATAAAAATAAATAAATTTACAAAATTAATTTAAAATAAATTTGAATAAATAAATAAAATAATTAATTAAAAAAAAATATATTTAAATAATAAATGTTGAGCATTTTTAAATATTTAAATAAAATTGTATTATGCATACATTTTTTCTATATTTTTATAGAAATAGAAAAAAATATTTAAATATATATTTGATAATAAAATATAATATTTATTTGATTAATTTATATTTCATTGAAAATTTGTTCATGCTTTTTATAGCAAAATATTCTTTTCGGTCTTTTTTTCAAGAATTCGCTAAGGAACTTCTATGCACAAATTTTGAAATGGGATGTAAACAAAATGGATGTATCCAAGATACTTTAACTTAAAACAATCTCAAGTAAGTAATACCTGAATTCTTTTTCATAAATTCATATAAATATTTAGAGAAATACATATTGAAGCGGAACTAATAGTTCCAAGTTTCAAAAACTAGTTTCTTTAGATAAATTATAAATCAGAATACGACAAAATATAATTTCTCTCAGCCTAAATTCCAACTGCTTTAGACTTAGAACTCACACACACATAAATTTCTCCGAGTGTCTTTGGTATTTAGCCGAACTTGTTCCAGACCGTCAGCACGGACAGCCCGATCAGCAGAGCTGCACTGAAAATGCTGCCAGCTGTTGAGCCGGCGGATGAGTTGGATGTGTTATTGTTGCTATCGGTGGACTGGGTGCTAGTTGGTGCTGGGCTACGGGGACTGGGACTGGGAATGGGAATGGGTGTTGCTTGGGCTATGGGGGAACTAAGAGTGGAGTGAGTGGAGGAGGAGGGTGAAGAGGGTGCTGAGGAACAGGAACCTTTGGAAGCGGAACCACAACCAGTGTCAGGCGTTTGGGAGCGGCAGGAGCTAGTTACAGAAGCGTTGCCAAATTGCAGATTATGACTAACAAGTTTCGCGGTATTGGAGCGATAACGATAACGATTGGCAGCCAAGGGGGCGGCTATCGGCTGCTGGTCCCTGGCTAACTCACCCTGGACAGACGGCGGCAGCCGGGACACCTTGTACGTCTTCACAATGGTCGACTTCTTGGTGGCGCTGCACTGTGCATTGTCCGTGGCGCTCTCGTTCCTCTCCTGCTGCTCGTGCCGCTCCACTTGGCCTCCCTCCAGCTGCTCACAGCTGCTGAACTTGGCGAATTCGCGCAAGTGGCGCGGCAGCTCGCGCAGATTCGCCTCCGCCTGGCCCTCGAGCACACGCACTGGCGGCACCGCCTCCCCATCCACATCGGACTCCGCCTTGGCCTGCACCGGCTGCGACTCGGCGCCGCTCTCCCAGTCACTGTCCGCGGGCATGGCCAGCTTGTGGCGCCGCTCCTTGACCCGGTTGAGGAACTCGTCGCTAATGTTCGCCTGCTCCTCGGTGGCGTGCTGCTGCTCGTCCTCGATCTTAGAGATCTTGATGATCTTGTGCTGGCGCCGCTCCTCGCGCTCCGCCACCTTGTGCATCCACTCCTCGGCCATCTGCTGGCGGAACACCTCGTCCTCGCTCAGCGTCGGCAGCTTCGGCGCCGGCCGGTAGCTCTCGCGTCGCGGCGGCGGCGCCTGCAGCACAGTCGGCGCCCGCTCCATCTCCTCCATGAGCCGGCGACGCTCCTGCTGCAGCCGCTCAAACTCCAGCTTCAGCTCCTCCTCCTTGCTCAGTATATACTTCAGCTGCTGTTCGTGCAGCTCGCGCGGCAGCGAGGCGCGCCGCTGCTGCCGGTCGTAGGCAGGAGGCTGGCCCGAGTGCGGCGGCTGTGGCGCCGGCGAGACGCCCCGCCTGGAGGTGGTGCTGATGTACGTGGGATTGGGATTGCGCTCGATCATCGAGTAGCAGCTGGCGTAGTGCGGCCGCTGCTGCTGCGGCGCCTGCTGCAGCATGGGCGCATGCCTCCTGCCGCCTCCGTACGCATTGAAGCCATCGTAGCTGCTGCTGCTGGACAGATCGTTCGTGCTGGCCGAGAGCCGTGGAGCGCGTATCCCGCTGTGCGGCTGTCGCTGCCGCTGATAGCAGATCTCCACCTCGCGGGCGAACGGCCGCGCAATGTTCTCCGAGTAGCCGAGGTCGTTGGCGTAGCGCGCCCAGTCGTCCTGCTGCTGGCGCGGATAGTGCTCCGCGGACGTGTGCGGCCGCTGCCCGCCGCTCTCGCTGAGATTGCACAGCGACTCGGAGCGACGGCTACGGTAGTCCGGCGCCAGCTCAACGGGAATCTCCACAGTGCGCGGCACCGAGGACAAACGCTCCTGGCGCGACCTGGCCGAGCGCTCGATCTCGCGCTCCAGCTCCTGCATGTGCGCATGTCGCTGGCGCTTCAGCTGCTCCTGCTGGCAGCTGTTGCTGACGTGGCCATTGCTGCTGCTGCTGTTGCTGTTGGTCAGCCGACTGAGATCGTAGAGCGAGGCGGATTTGTCGCGCTGCTGCCGCTGCTCGCGTCCCGTTTGCAGCTCGGCATTCAGCTGCTGGGAGAGGGCGTCAAAGTCCTTGAAGAGCTTTTCATTGTCCGGCGAAGGCTGCGCAATTGCGTCGAGCGCTGCTTTGGCACGTTGCCGAAATTCCTCATAAGTGCCGCTGCCAGTGCTGCCAGTGTTCACCTTGGCATGGCTGCCAGCTGTAGATGTTGCTGTTGTTGTCTGGCTGCTCTCTTTATATTGCTGTTGCTGTTGTTGCTGTTGCTGCTGTGCGTCATCGTTGAAAGTGTTTGACAAGCCATTTAATTTCGTTGCTGACATAATATTAGCTGCTGCCGGCGGTGGCGGCACAGGAGGCGGTGCACAATCCACCTCATCCACTGTTGTTGCTGGTGCTGCTGCTGCAGCTGCTGCTGTTGCAACTGTTGCTGCCTGCTTACCATTGTTAGTGATCGGCTCGCCCTCTTCCCGCTGTTCGCGCTTGCTCCTGCTGCTGTCGTAGACCACTTGTCCGTTCTCCACACGCTTCTGGGACTCGTACGAGCTCGTCTCAATGTTCGAGTAGCGCTTGCTCTGCGCCGGCAGCAACTGTTGCCGGCTGCTCGACTCGATGTTGGAGAATCGCTTGCGTTGCTCCGCGAATATGTCGCCCTGCGGCGCGATGCTCGGGAACATGCGCGCCAATTCACTCTCCATGCTGGCTGGAAATTTGCTGCCGTTCATGTAGTTGCTGTTGCTGCTCTGACTCTGACTGTGACTGTGACTGTGGCTGCTGCTGCTGCTGCTGATGTTGCTGCTGTGTTTGGTCGACTGCTCGAATGCGTAAGGCAACGACTGATCAGCTGCTGCTGCTCTTGGTTTATTTTCATGTGATGATGTCGCTGTCGCTGCTGTTGTTGCTGCTGTGTCTCTCATTGGCAGGCTTGCGTCATCTGGCTGTTGCTGCTGTTGCTGCTGCTGTTGGCTCTTTGCCTTGGCCGCTGTCTCAGCGCTCTTCACAGGCACCGGCGGCGGCTGCTGTTGCTGCTGCTGCTGCTGCTGCGGCGTCGGCGATGTTGGCGTGGGCGTTAGACTCTTGCGCAACTCGCGCATTTTGGCCGCTGTTTTGAGTATCTGCTGCTGCTCGGCATTCAGTTGCGCCTCGTCCATGGCGCGCACCTGTTCTCTGCTCAGCTCATGATAGCCGCGACGCTGCACGAATTTCTCGTGCGCATCCAGCAGCTGATCGGCCGCCGGCTGCAACTGTTGCTGCTGTGCGAGGGCACGCTGTGCGGGCGACAGGCACACTAGCAGCTGAGGATCCGCCTGCGTGGGCACACCCAGCCAGGCGTCCTTCTCCTCAGCCTGGACCTGGTTCAGCGACAGCTGCAGCTCGCTTATATGAGGCAGCTGAGGCAGAGGATAAGGCATGTTCGATTGCTGCTGCTGCTGTTGCTGCTGCTGTTGCTGATGTGGTTGCTGTTGCTGCTGCTGTTGTTGTATATTTTGTGCCACACTTGCGAGCTCTTCAAGCATCTGCTCGCCATAGGGCATGGAGGCCAAGGTCTCGGTGCATAGCAGACGCAATTTCTTGATGCGATCCGCTTCCGCTTGCTCAGCTGAAATTGTGGAAATGGCTGAATGTTGGCGCTGGGGTGGAGTGGGTGGAGTGGATGCTGTGGGTGGCGGTGGGGCAAGTGTGTGTGGTGTGGGTGGTGGTGAGGCCATGTTTATGGCGGTGCATTGGCTGTGCTGTGTGCTGTCCGAGCAGTGCGAATCGTTCGACTCTTGCCGCGAGAGCAACAAAGGATTCACTTTGGCATGCAAATCAAATTGTGATTGCTGTTGCTCTAGCTGCTGCTGCTGCGTTTGTTGCTGTTGTGTGGTTGGGGTATAGTGCATGCAGCTGGGTGGTGGTGGCACAGGCGGCGGCGTGGGTGATAACCTACAACGCAATTCACTTGGCTGCTGTTGCTGCTGCAGCTGCTGTTGCTGCTGTTGCTGCTGTTGCTGTTCGGTAGCAGCAGCAGCAAAACGCGACGCGATTTCGTTTCCGTTAACGTCTGCGCTTACGCTACCGTTACCGTTACCGTTCCCGTTCCCGTTCGCATTTCCGTTTCCGTTTCCGCTCTGCTCGCGTCGCGTCATTTCGATCAATTCGCGCACTTTGTCCATATTGCGTACGAATTCCTCGCGCGTGGCCGCCAGCGAAGCGGTTGCAGTCGAACTGTTGGCCAATTTGCTCGCCTCGCCTTCGTTGGCCACAGCGTGCGTGGGCGGCGTCGCTGCTGGCGTCGCTGTCGCTGTCGCCGTTGGCGTTGCCGTTGCCGTTGCCAGCACATTGCCTGCGGCAGCGGCCTGCTCTGGCAATGGGGATTGAGCGTTAACAGGTGTGCTCTCGCGACTCGACGACTGCTCGGCCGCAGTTGTTGCCTCCGTTTCCGTGTCCACTTCCGTTTCGACCTGCAATTGTTGTTGCTGTACTTGTGTATCGCTATGCGAATTGCCTGTTAGATTCTTACGCACAAAGCCAAAAACTAAATAAAATAAACTGAACCATAAACGTGGCGCACTTTGCGTTCAATTGCGTATCTGAATGACCCAAATTTCTAGAATTTTTTAGCCAACAAAACAAAGCAATTAAGAGCTATTTCATGTGGAGCCTATTCCATTCACACTCTCTATAGAATTGTGGAATTTTTTGTTTCGGATTTTTCAAAAAATACTATATACTGTTAAATACTATAAGCTTGTATAATAGTTCTGCTCTTTGACTTATATTCCTCTTATATTCTTCTTGCTCTTTGATTTAGTCTGTTTTATATACTCTTGATAGACTCTTTGCTTAGATAGCCAACAGATGCAAGCACTAAAATTTGCTCGAAAATAAAACGTTTAACTATGCATTATAAATTACTATACAAGAATGTCATAAATTTGTTCATTATAAACAGGAGAACTGTGAGCTGTTCTACATTCATTTATATATTCACAAGTTTATATTTATTTTTGCATATTTTTTGTGAATATACTAAATATGAATATTTACATTTACATATATATATTACTTTTATATTTATTTTTATTGATATTTTTGTATAGTATTTTATATTTAATTTTTATTTTTTTTTTATACATATATATTTTTTTAAAAGCTAATAAATTAATTAATTTATTTATTTTATTTTATTTTTTGTTTATTTTTCTTTTTTCAGTATATGTACATTTTGATTTTACTAATATTTTTATCTTTTTATTATACTCATTCACGAAGTGAATTAGTATATTGGTTTTGTGCAATGTCC